CACCCACACCCACACCCACACCCACACCCACACCCACACCCACACCAACACCCACACCCCACACCCACACCCACACCCACACCCACACCCCTTGAATATGTTTACTACAGCTCAAGCGAATGAGCTGGTTTTTTATCAATGGCAGAGGCTTGTTTAAGTTTTGTATCCATAAAGAAATGTCTAGAGAGACCCTTTGCTAAGTATATGGTTTCTTTTTCCTATCTGTGAAAAAGTAGAATTTTTTGTTGAGGTCAATAATGATACGTAACAAAGGCTCTATCTAGGCATGTTTTTATAGATATAAACCTTGAATATGCTTCTATCCTTGACAAAAAAAATTAGCTCATTTGCTTGAGCTGTAATTCATTTGTTCTATTTTTTAGATATGATCGTGATCGTAAACGTACAATGAGTACACCCTCACCCAATGATCGTAAATGTAAAATGGATAAACCCTCATCGTGAAATTAATTTTTTTCATTTTGTTTTTGAAAAAGAAAAAAAATAAAAAAGAAGAAGAAGAATTTTTGTAACATCATTAGTCATTTGACTTATAATTTAGGTTAAAAGTTTTTTACGAATATCAACATCCAACAAATTCAATAGACACAACAAGATAAAAATGATCGTCGTTATTCAACATTACCAATGATTATTAAAGTTCTTAGTGTACTTTCAAATAATGAATGGGAAGAATATTTTCCTGAATTATCTGAATATACATTGACATTGGCTAAATTACTTGTCTATGAAATACATCTATGTGTTGATAAAGAAATTTAATCCAAGTGCAGCAAGTCAAGTTGTTATTGAATATCTGAAAATCAATGATGATATGAATTCTTTATCAGGATGGACATTACTTCGTTCAATTAAATTATTATTAACAGGACCTAATTTAATTATGAATAAATTTGCTCAAGCATCATTTATCAAGTACGTCTGCTAAATATTTATATTTATTTTTTGATTTACCGGAAATTTCAACAAACAAATCATTCAAATAATGATATTATATCACTTAAAGAAAAACGTATATTCTTTCAACAAATATTTTTTTCAAGTAAGATGTATAAAAAGAACAAAGATATTTTATATATTTCTATTATTATTTAGCTTTTATCGCGTATTGCAATGTCTAATTCATGTGTTGAAAAATTGACTCGTGTTGTGATGATCTTTTATTATTATTCAATGCAATATCAAGTAATTGTCCTGAACGAAATCAACCATGGAGAAAATAAGCATCTGATATGCTTAGTCTAATTGAAAAACATACATTACCATCAGCTATTCAATGCATTCATATTAAATGAAATTCTTTTTCGAATAATCAAAACAAAAAACCCCACAAATCTTGTTTTGTATTGAATAGATGCTCGATGTATATTTCAATGTGTGAATAATTTACGTCAAGGAACATGTGATCTATCATTAGTAGATATGGCACATATTTATGAAACATTAATATGTTTATTAATCGAATCAGCATCATTATCACCTAGTCTTATGAATGATTTTCGTCTTGCACATTGTTATGTTCATATGAAAGATATTATTTTGAGGTAAATATGTCAATCAATCAAATTGAACTTATTTCTCGTTGTTTATAATATTATTAGTAAAGCTTTTTTTCGGACTTGACTATCATATTTAGCGGAAAAATCCTAATCACAATAGAATATCTAAAAGAGTTCTTTTTTTTTTCTTAAAAAGATTGATTAATAAAAAACGAAATTGAATTTTTGTTTTCTTTCAATAGACTGGAAAATGAATGGATTAATGATGAATCTGAAAAATTATTTGCACGTTTTATTACATTACTCGGTGATTTTACTTATGTAGGTTATCATGAACTTAAATTACCTGCTAGACCTGAAACAATTTTTGATATTCCAAATTTTGTTATGCCACAATCGAAAAACACCGGTAGAAAAAAAAACCTTCTTCTAACCTTAAAAAATTAATTTATTTCATTAAATTAGGTTTTATTGTTCGTAATCTTTCTGCATTTACAATTCTTCAATCTATTTTTCAACAGGTTTGTCATAAGTTCATTGATTTATTATTATCTGTTTCTTTTTTTTTTGTTTTCTTAGTCAACTCATCCATTTCTTGTTAATATTGTATTTGATACAATCAGTAGTATTATATTAACCGACAATGCAAATTATTTTCTTTGTGGTGAAAATCTTTCACCACTTACTGAAATTTTTTATAATAAATCAAATGATGTTCAAATAAAAATTAATGATCTTTTGGAATTTATTGTATTTCAACTTAAATATATTCCATATAGAGAACTTGTTAATTTATCTATTATGCTTAAATCAAATAAGCATGTTGAAGTTTATATATCTAAAATCCTACGGTTGAAATATTCTTTTTTTTTGTTAAATACCTTTGATAATATTTTTTACGAACGAATAGATTTTGTAAGGTTTTAATTCAAGGACATTTCTCTACTGATGTTTTTTTCTTTAGTTCTATACAAAGTCATAAAAATTGTGTCAAATATTTAATCCATATACTTAAATTTAATAATATATTAAAAGATGCTCTTCGTGAATTGGGTTTTATTGAAGTACTGATCACACGTTTACATCATTTTACAACATTACTTAAAAAATCAGTACACGATACAAATGGTAACAAATGAGAATATTTTATTTTATCTCGTAATTAAATATTTTCTATTTAGATAAAGGTGATAATATGAATCAAGAAGAAAAAGAATTAGGTTTTATGGTTATGGAAGCATTAGCTTTACTTTTATCACATAATCAAAAAAATGCTAGTAAATATATTAATGTTTTGGTTTAATAGATTTTTTAAGAAAAATAGATGTTTCGAGATGCAGCGTGATAAGCTGCAGCTGAAAATAACACTTCAGAGTTACATGAGCAGGTGAAACACTCAACCAGCTGAAGCTATTCAAAGCTCAGTTTACTCTTGGGAATATTTGATACATGAAATTTTTATTAGTCTTTCTGGTTTCCTTCAGGTTTTATATTGAAAATAAGATCAGATTTTTTTAAAATATTCATATTCTCGTAGAATTTGTCGAACTCTATCGAACAATATAAAAATATCTAGAAAACAATATGTCACTTAGAGTGTTAAAAGCAATTTTTGTTTTTGAAAAACATGTCTCTTAAAAATTTTCACTCAAGATTAGTAAAATGACCATAACATTGTTATGAATTTATGTATTTTGAATTATCTTCTTTTCAGAATATAGCTCTAACCTTTCTCTACAAAATGACATAATTTGATCAATAACTTCATAGAAGTTTATTGTAGATATCATCGATTTACTGAGAGGGATCGAAACTTTCTGATCACCCTTTAGTATGTACTCAGCCGATTAAATCAGAACTATTTGAGTCAAATTACATCTGTTACCGATGATTAGCATAAGTATTGAACTCTAAAAGTTCCTCATTCTCCTATAATAACTTTCAAACATCATAGATATAATAGTGAACAAAAGTCTTTGTCATAAAGAATCTCAGACATTATAGATGGTAGAGAACTGAAAACTTATGTGTAGATACGTTGTCAAAAATTTAACTCAGGAACACAAACCTGCTTCGATTGTTTAGGTACACAGAATTATGAGGGATAGCACATATGTCGCCTGAGTTCATAAGAACTACAGTTTGATGTTCTCACTACATATATCCTCAGAATTTATTATTGCCTTACAGTTAGTTAACTATGAGGAAATATGTAAATAAATAAAAAAATTTATTTGAACTAAGTAAAAGAGGCTTTTTTTCTATCAATTATAACGTCTCTGAATAAAGTTTTGGGATAGGTTTGGTTTTCTAGTGTTACACAGAATTTAGTTCTTTACTGATTACAGTAAGCTAGAACTCCAAAACAATCAAACTTTATATAGATTTTTCGAACGGTTACTCTTTACGTGAGGCAGTATTTTAAAAAAAGCACTACTTCCGAATCTCGGTATTTAGAGTGTAATAAATGTACAAAAAATATTTTCTTATAGTTTGGATTGAGATAGTTCTTTATCAATCTGCAAAACTGGACTATACGAAAAATTTTGAACAGATGCTGTGTTTGGCATTCGTCAAAGATCTGTTCTCAATGTGCTATCTTTAATTCTCGATTACTATTCGCCTGTTGCCACATGAAAGATGTTTTGTTAGTCTAGTCGAACTCAATGTAAATGAATAAGAAGAATTTGGCTTGTTTTGCTTGATTTACGCTAGACATAGATGAATCGAAGATCTTTATCATGATCTTTTCAGATACAAAAACATCATTATCGTTTCTGACGTATAAACACATTTGTAGTTTAAAGGATATCTTTCTCAAAGATTATGGTAATAGTACGAAAAATTGAAAGCTTTAGAATTTTGGTCATTCGAGACCAAATCTAAATAAAATGTCAAAACTGTTCTAGCTTTATTGAACCCTATGCACAAAAATTTTCAGATCTTCAACATTTATGATGACTGAGATTTCCTAGGACAGAGATTTCTGTCTATTAAGATGATCTAAATGACATAAATTGTATTGCTTAAATCATAATCTTTTTTTGACAACAACTACAACGAATGTGTAAATATTCGTTTGAGAAATACTTTCCTATTAATTATATTAACAAAGAAATACTTAATTGGATTGAAATGTACCGATTCGAAATAGTCAACACTGACTATCGAAAAAAAAGGTAATCTTAAAGGTTTTCAACAAAATATGAAGATCAATATAAAAGAACTATTTATTCAAAATAAACGGTTATATTGTAGTTGATTATAATAATATAAATATGCTGTTTTTTTTTTAATAACACGAATTCATAATATAAGATATATATATATGGAAAAAAAGGAATTAAATATGTACTTTCAACAAGTCTAAACCAATGAACATGAAAATTCGTACCATAAGAAGAGCAAACACACTAATCGTTTTTTTTACTCTTGTAAAAAGTGTTTTATCAGTTATTCAGAAAAAAAAAATATGAATTAAAAATAATAAGCTTGGAAAAAGAAAGCGAATATAATATCGTAAAAAATCATCGATCCATACGTAATTATTATCATTCTTCTTTGAATTCAATACATTTGTCTTTTGGCCATTCTAATGTATATTCAAGTGGTAATCGACATTCAGTTCTAGGTTGTAATACACATTTCCATTCGAGATTATTTGAACCATTCATTGTTACAATATAATTTGAATTTTGTTCTTTTATTCGTAAATCAGGTACAAGTAATTTCACTTTAATTTTTTCATCTAATGAAAGTGGTACTTGTTCATAAACATAAACAATAACTTCAATTGGTTTTGTATTGATAAGATGTGTTTCACGACGAATATTTTCATAATATGTTTTTGAAATAAGACCTTGTGTTTCAGTAATTTTCTTCACAGGTTTATATTCAACTTTAATACTTGTGTCAGTACCTAATGAAAGTTCAAATTTATCTCCCAAACAAACATTATCAATTGAACTATGTCTAATAAAATTGTTATCCATAAAAACTGATACTGGTCCAGCTAGAAGTAATTTGTTCGATGTATTTACTGTTGATGCTCTGAGATATGCATGAATGGATAGTTTTGGTACAACTGTATAGATAAATGTTGAAGTAAGATCAAGAACACCTATTGTTACTTTGTGTGGCTTACCCTATACGAGAGATTGATGTTTATAAATAGAAAGAATTTAAAAACGAAATAAAACTTACATCAGCATCAATAGTTGATCTTCGAGGAATGACAAAATTAACACCTAACATATTCGCTTCAGCTGTAGTCGACAAAACGTTAATTATATTTATTGCTTCGGGTTCATCTTCTACAACGATTTGATTGGAATTGAAAGATGATCGTTCTCGTGAAGTAACAAATCCTTCAGATTTTCTCGATTGTCGACTTGATGAAATGAATGAAAAAAGCTGCGAGGAGGCTCCATAAGTATTGTCTTTCTTATCTTTTACTTCACACAATTCATGATACTTCTCATAAGGTTGATAATAGTCAATTTTTAGTGTAGGTAATTTTGGTGGTATTCCTCCAAGAGATGGAGTTGCTGTCGACAATGATAATTGTACGTCCGACCAATTTTCTTGACTTTTGTTCATCTAAAACATATCATATAAAATGTATTTTCATGCAAATAATTTCTTTTCAGATACTCACGACGACACCATAATAAGTTAATTGAGTCGCTTGTTTTGATGTATCTGTAGTATTGACACGAACATCATAACTAACACTCCATGAGCAATTACTTATCAAATAGGATATCTCTAAATTAACATCAATATTAGTACAACCTATATGCACTGTTATGGTCACTTCCCGACGTTCGTTTCGACGATTTGATTGATCATCAACACCATATTCAGCTATTTTTATACGTAAATCATCTCGTTGTTGTTTTAATTTTTTGATTTCATCTTCCTCGTTTGTTTTTCGATCATCTAATTTTACTAGAGCTTTATGATAAAAATCCATAAATTCATGTAATGCATCAAGGTCATTAGCATTGAGTTGTGTGTCTTGATTCATGAGTTTCGACGCTCGTCCTTCAAGCCATGCACGTTGTTTATCAAGACGTGTGATTTCTCGTTGATGGACAGCAAAAACAGCTTCAATCTTCTCAAGTTCACTATATAGTTGATCTAATCGTGTTAAATCAGCTTGTGATACTATATTTTCATAACATGTTTGATATGAAACTTCAAGAATAGTACATGTTTTGCCTGTTCCTCCACTAACATGTAGTGATGTATGATCAACAAATGGAGAAAAACCTTCGAATACTAGATCATAAGTACCTTCAACATTGAAATGATGCCGTAGTTGACGTGTAACTTCAGCACGGTCATTATAAACAATAACATGTTGTATTGGACATTGCTGATCGATATTAAAACGAAGGTTAGCTGTTTTTGTGTTGTTTATGTTGAATGTAGTTAGTGGAGTAGGTTTTGTGCTCATCTTTGATATCCTTCGCTCCCTCACAAGAATAATAAATGACTACAGTATATTTTTCGAATACATGAATGTAACTTAATTGCTCAACGGGATCGCAATTATTTTTCTGTTCTTTAATATCACCAAACAGTAACCTGTTGTTATGTTTGATATCCACAATGCATCAATGAGTTAGACACGAATGAAAAAAAAGAATGTGAAGTACAAAATTTTTCGCCTAAATGAGTCATCCACATCAGTAAGATTAGTTATATTTTTTATGCTATTTACTTTACTTGCAAAATTTTCTTCACATTTATTTTCATAATACTACAGACTAAATATGTACCAAGATTGTGTGTGTGGATACACAAAGACATCAATATACCAAGTGAAGAACTATGCAGAACTTTTCTTGCGATATTTGTTCTCGACTTTTAGGACAGTACGGAAAATCGGAAATAACATGTAGAAAAAAAAACGTTGACGAAGTAGCTGGCAAAACATATTTTGTTTGAATTTTAGTTATCATAATTTTGCTACTGGTATATAACTGTTGATCATAATCTTTACTCAATTATAGATTATAAAGATAGCTTCACTCTAAAATATAGATGTAGAATAATAAATCCATTGCTTGAGAGTTTATTTCGTTCAGTTGTCCAAAAAAAGTTTATAAACACAGATAACAGTATAAGGTTATGTCAATTTGTAACGGTTCACAAATTCTCGCCAGAGTTTATGAATAGAAATGATTTATGTAATGGGAATAAACGGATAACGAGAGTTTGTTACTTAATATCTATCTTTTTATAGTGCTGCCTCAGTCTATATAAATCTTAAGCATTTGAATCATCCTTTAATCAATTCCACTATTTCTTCATTCATTGTTATATTTACTAATGGTCTTTTAACGTGCGTAAAGCCTCAGTAAACTGACTGGTTAGAGTTATTCCTTCTTATTATATCTATAGACCTCGAGTGAGTATCAGATATTTTAGACGAAATTCTGATTGTTCTAGAGATATTAAATCATAGCATTCACTTCAGTATCTCGTTCTTTGAAGCATTGTCTTTTCAAAAACCTTGGATTACGAGAGTAACAAAGCACTTGAGCAGTTTTGATCACTTTTTGGCACACGTGATTTCAACTAATTAAAAGATACACCCTTTTTTCTAATTTCAATTGATCAATGTATTGATATTATTATAATAATGTTCTACCTGTTTATATTCTTTTCTTTTTTAAGAAGCAATAAAATCAATTAAGTTTTCGACGACACGAGAACTAATCATTCTTTCGTTTGTTTTTTTCAGAAAAAAATATTATTTTGAATTGTGTAATTCTTTTTTATAAATCGCTTTATTTGAAAGACAAGTTATTTGATTTTTTTCTAGCATTACAAGTAAATATGCATGACATTGAAGAAAAATCTATACAATTGATATGAGAAAGAAGTCATATTGTAACTAGGAATAGATAGTCAATATCTAAAAAACAAATTTTTCTTTTATTTTCTGATGTTCATCTGCCATACATGATCAACATTGAAACTAGATCACCATATGTACTGTTCTATGAATAAAGAAAAGCATGCATTAGAATTGTCAAGTAAATGAATGGAAAAATAGCGTCAGTCATTCGTTCAGTCAGTCGTTGACTCATTTATTCTTAATTCAGATTATATAAAAACAGATAGTTCTTTCGTCTTGTTGACGGCACCGGGCAAATTAGAGCAAGAGTGTATATAAGTAATTGTTAAAAAATAATTGACACATAGAAATGAACATGGAAGATTTATGTGTCCGACTGACAGATATGCCCGATTAAATACTTTTGTTGATATTGAATAAATTAACCAATATCGAAGTACTTTATTCTCTAATAGGCGTTAATATACGACTTGATAAAATCGTAAATGATCCTATTTTTACCGAACATTTAACATTAATGAGACGTTCATCGAATGGTGTTATCAATTTACTAGATGATTCAATACTTAAACGATTTTATTCAGAAATATTGCCTAAAATTCATTATAAAATCAAGTGGTTTGATCTCGAACCATTATGTAAGGAACGTATTCTTCTTGCTGCTGACTATCCGAATTTACATGGCCTTTCTCTGTTCAATATTGAACGTGAGACAATTTTACGTTTGTTTGATGGTAAGCATTTTCATTTCTATTGATTTAATCACTGAACTATGGAACTTATATGAAGATGAATAATATAGTATTTTTAATATAATTGAGTACATCATTGCAAATTGTTTATGCCAATCCATTTTTGAGCTTAGTTATAAATAAAAGTGATGAAATAAATATTAAGAGAGTGAAGAAAACTAACAATAGACAAGCAGCATAAAGATCGACATCGAAAGTAACGAATTATCGAGCCTAGAATTCGAAATAAGACTACAAGGATTTTTTTAATTTTTTTAAATATCTTTCGAGGAAACTCATTTAGATCGCATCTTCAAAAATCATATTAAAACATTGATTATTACAATCGCTAAACATGAAATAATAGGATCAACATCAGACATAATCAATATAGTGTGTACATATGTTTTAACTATGTGCACAAATTTACTATGCTTAAAATTTCATCCATATTCCGATATTTATGTTGACTTTCGTGAACGATTATCTTTCGAATCAATAGAACCTGCAAGATTTTTTTCTTCAAATTTAATGGAATTACAAATCAATGTTGACGATTTTACTGATTGTCTTTATCTGCTTGATGGTCGTTTCCCACGACTTTGTATTTTCTATGTTGATGTTCGTTTGTTTACTCCTCCATCACCAGCAATTATTAACAAGATAGATTATTAGAATTAAGGAAACTAAGGAATTTTATTTGGTTTCTTTTTCATGAAGAATTAATTCATTTGAAATGTTTTTCATTGACTTGTAGTTTAGAAACAATGTTTTATGAAGAATCGATTGTACCTCTCCTTCATCGAATGTGTAATCTAGAAGAATTATTCTTGAATCTCTCTATCGGTCGTAGTACTAATAAATCATTCATTGATGGAAATGATTTGAAAATAGATATTCTGAGTCATATATCAAAGTTAAATAAATTCGTATTCAATATTCATTCAAATTTAAATGTTGATGATTTAACTCATTTGCCATCAAACGAAGATATTCAACGTACATTTAAAGGTCTCGAAAACTATCAAATAATTTCTTATATCCATTATTTTCCAGATGATCATATTGGCCAATGTCATATTTATTCACAACCGTATACAATGAATTATTTATATCTACTTACAAAGTGTTTTTCAGGTGGATTATTCAAGTTTGTTCATAAAGTCTCACTATTTGATGAACATCCTTTTGAACATGAATTCTTCATTCGAATTGCTCAATCATTTCCATTGCTTGCAACATTGTCTATTGAGAATCGGTCACCACAAAATCACAAACAATGTCAACATTTGAACAAAGACCATCGTAGTTTGCCAGTTATTAAATATTCTCATCTTACTCTGTTCTGTCTCCATATGGCTCATGATGATTACATTGAACAATTTCTAATTCATACTAAAACATGTCTATCAAATTATATTAGTCTTAGTGTCTATTATCCTTCTCTTCAAAAGGTAACTAACAACTTCACAAGAGATACAACACGAATCAACTGTGTCAAAGTTAATTATATATACGATATTGACAAATTGAATCTTCCTAAACATTTTCATACATATTTTCCTTATGTTGAAAAGTTCTGACTTTTTTTAATTAATTGAATAAATCGGATAAAACTTAAAATTAAATTATTTAAGTTGTATATAACCAATACAAATATCAAAATATTGTTAAAGCTCATGACACAATCTTCACTTTTTTTAATTTACATTCATGCATTAAAATAAAATGTTTAGTCTTCTGATCAAATTGAAATTCATGATTTCAATCAAAATGATTTGCTAGTGTACTTAAATTTAAATGCGCATGTTTTGTAATACACATACATCAATCAGATAACAAGGGATGTGCTACAGCACCAGATTTTTATTCAAAAAAATGCTTTTTTTTTGTCATATAAAAAGTTAATTCTTTGTCTTTTCTTCATCATCGATAGCATCATCAATAGTTTGTCCATCAGGCATCATCATGTTTCCTGAACCGATTTTATCTTGTTGCAATGAACTGATGATATTGATTTCAAAATCTAAAGAAAAAGAAAACATGCTATACATAGAAAAAATCAAGTTTTTTCTCTTACCAGTAAATGTTGAATGAATTGAATACATACCAGCATGGCCACTTGGTTGATTGACATTTGAATCTAAGGAAAAAAACATATTAAAAAGACCAAGTTTTTTACTAATTGGTATTTGTTTAAAAGCTTTATTTTTTTATCATATTTTTCATACAATTCACGAACTTTTTCATGAATGCTAAAAATGGGAAAAATTTAATAGAGAAAAGAACGATCAGAATAAAAGTTATATACTAGTTTTCGTTTTTGAGATCAACTTCTTCTAAGTCTACTCGAGTTTGTTTAGGTTTGTTGAGTTTCTAGAAAAAAATTACGATTGTAAATAAAATATACAATATTTTAAAGTTATCTTACGTCAAAATAGCAAATTAATTTTTTACTAGACCGAAACAATTCAATCTTTCGTCAATTAAAATTTTGTTTGTGATAAATCGATTTGATTGAAATCATCGGTTTTTTCCAATTTTGAGTAAGATCAATTTATTTTTAAAAAAATACAAATAAATTCCGGCAAGGACAAAACTTTTTCTTATTCGATCGTCTTATGTTAAAACATAATTGTTTTTAATTAAATAGTCATGAGTATGGGTGTGGGTGTCGGTCAAGACAATACTAATACTCTCACCCACACCCTATTTCGACAATATGTGCATTAGAATAATCTATGTGAAGTACTCAGAGTTATTTTCTATAATACTAATTTAATTCATTTTTGAGTTCTTGTTGTCTAAAAAACGTTTTTTTCCGGTAGATAATTTCTAGAAAGGCAACGGACGCTATTTATAAAGACGACATTGAATATAGGCAGAACGTTCTATAAGTATTGTCATATACTGCTTGGGCATTCGATAAAAAGTATCGTTATGAGGCAACTTTCTATTTTTCGATAGCAATTCTCAACTCCTTTGTCAAAAGTTGCATTACTATTCTTGTTTCTTTACATAAAATTTCCTTGTTATCGAACATGATGACATTTCTCATTTTTCTTATTTCTTTTAACTTCTTGACACTCTGACTTGCTAATGTCAGTCCATATTGATCTCTAGTCTTCGAAAATGTCGCCCTCTTCTAAATAAGAACAATTAAACAAATGTAATATTAGTTACCTACACTATTTTGCTTTTCTTCTTCTACCCAAAATATTTGAAACAATGGTAATACAATTTTAATAGTGTTTAGTTCGCATCAAGAAAGCGGCATTCGTATCGAAAGAAATATTTTCACAAAAGAGTACAACTGATTAATGATCGTTTGTACTAATAATGAATTCTTCTCTTGAAATAGACCTAATATTAAAGGATGAACAAATCTTTATTACGTTGAGAGTGTGATGAATGCAAAACCGATGGTATGTGAATGAAACTATTCCGTTTAATCTATTCCTTCATGCATGCTCCTCTTCCATTGGATTTTTTTATATAGGTAATATTTATGCTAATATATGTTAATTAATTTATGCGTATTACAATGTTGTGTCAAAATTTTGACATCTTTTTCTTGAACATTGAAAGATCACAACGGATGATGTTTTCAAGTCTACAGAGGTTAAATATTCCGAAAGATTTTCAATTATATTGACATTTTCGTTCTCACCGAGTGTTTTTGGTTTAAATTGAATATAAAACCATTTTTATGTTGTGTGTTATTATGGATGAAAAATGATTCGAAACAAATATCAATCTGTCTTTTTCAGTAATCGAAATCTTCAATTTCTTTTGTATTTTATGATATATTTGTCGAATTTCTAATTTATTACTATAATAAGTTATTCAAGCATCAAATCATATGTTTATTGTGTATCATCTGTTTGATTATTCATTCATCATTATCACGATCACTAATCATTCACGCAATATACATCTGTCAATACACATATCAAAGAATTGTCAATTAGCGATACCGTCGATTCGGTTATTAGAGCACTATCTTATATATATTAACCAAAATATAGTCAATCGATAACATGATGTCTTTTACAACACCAACACGTCCATTAGAGTCAAGTGCAAAACGTCTTCTTAAACGAGTAAATGTGTGTACTGAACGTAGTTTTGAACGAACACCTATTCGATACGCAATTTCGAAACGAAAAACAATACAAATTCTATCGTCTACTATGTCATCCGGTATTACTCTATTAAGTAACGATGATCAAACACTTGTTGGTGATCATACTATTAGTAATGATTCATTATTATCTCTGGATAGAACACTCACAGAAGACAACCATGAAAAGGTTAGTACGAGTTGCAAAATGAATTTACAAAAAAAAAACACTATGCATTTTAGAATAAATTCAATGAAACAACTATTACAACGACTTGGGAAATAATTGATAGTATCGATAATAATTCTGATTTTAGTATTATTACACTCAATCAATCTGACGTATCACAAGCCACTGTTATAAGTAAACGATCAACAAAAAGTAAAATTCTATTTTTTTATTAAATATCTATAACAAAATGTATTTCTTTTTTATTTTTAGCATCAATTCGTCCATCATCACTGTTAGCACGTGTTTTGAAACTATCAATACCAAAGCCATCGACAAGTGTTAAATATATCAATCGACATGTACGTGATATCGATCGATTGAATGATACATTTGGTCAAGAATGGATTACATTACCGAATTTTGTCTAAATATCAGATATCTTCATCACGTTTTGTATTTTAAATTAACTCAAAAAATAAAAATAAAAAAAAAAACGTAGTTTCTATCCGCTTCTCTTTTCACTAACGATCTCGTTTCTGTCACTCATGGCTTCCATTGAAGTTATGTATCTTTTTTAGCATTAATGAACACAAGCGAAAAAGTCATGTATTATATATAATTCAACTCAATAATCGATAACATCAACTTTATTCAGATTTAAAGAGCATCATAGAACGTGTGTCCTGCAAGACGTATAGGTCATTTGTTCGATCATGATCCAATGAAGTTGTAATCTAGTAGCGAAACTCTTTATAACTTTCAATTATTATTAATAGTAATCAGAAGAGTATATGTCATTCTATCAAATTGATAACATCATATTTCTTCATACAAGAAATTCAAGCAAAAGAAAACTTATCTCTTCTCGTGATTCATCTGTTTGTATTAATTAAATTTTGAATTCTATGTCTTTATCCTTGTTTTGTTCACACTATGAATTTGTTCATTTCATTTCCTCTGAAAAATATTGATAAGGTTTATTGACTTAATCATATTGTAAATGATTTTTTTGTCCGAGTAGTACACCTGTTATATTTTTCATCCTACTATCTATTTAGAGAAAATTTTTTTCTTGTTAAAAATGCCATGAAAATATCGTCTTGCAAACGGAACGTAGGAAGACCCTTTGTACGTCGATAAGACAATTGAGCTTCCGACATTTGAGGTTCGACAGATTATGAATGTGAAACATTATCATATATATAAAAGATTTATTTAACAAAAGCTAAAAATTAAATAAGGATTCTCGCTCTCTTGCAAGATTCTTTTCCGGGTTTTACATCAAAATTAGCAATCAAATTTTGTTGTTGGTTGATTTCTTTACATAAGGTGTAGGTACGAGTCTTCTCTTACCGGATCTTGACACTCCCACACACACGC